CGCAATTTTATTATAAACTAACACCTTAGGGTTAAACTCTTGCTCGAGGAATTAACTCATTTCATCAATAAATATTAACCCATCAGGTTTTCTACTAGTAAACTAACGTTTAAACCTCAGTCCATTGTCGTTATCACTTACTATACTAAACTCAAGTGAGATATGGCTCTTGCCTCAGCACGAGCCAATAAGCAACAGGTTAATTCTATTTGGCTTGGAAACATTGATATACCCTTTAACATATCACAAACTTGATCATTAAATCCTAGATTCTGATGTAGCAAAGGTAACTGCAAGCTAACCTGGAAAGGTCTTTTAGGACACAGGAAAGCGATTGCGACAAGCTAACTCGTTGCTTCCCCTATTGGGGGGGGGTGTATAGGGGGTGTTGGAAATCCATATACAATATTTTTCAGCTCTTTTATACCATCTACAATATTTTTCACCCCTTTTATACCATATACAATATTTTTCACAGCTCTTATACCATATACGATATTTTACAAACGTTCAGGTGAAATACAATATACGATAATTTTGAAACTGCTGTTGATTAAAGTTTGGATATTTATAAGGAAATAATACTGAGAGAACCAATGACCTACAGTAAATGTATTATCATAAGGCAAATAGACTGCACATACAGACCGCAAATGATTTCATTTATTGCATTTAATGAATAAGACAACATTCGGGTACATCCGATTATGTTCATAAATTCTGTGATCACATATAATTTTCAGGTATTTATGAAATAACATTCATGACTTATTTAGTGATTTCACAACCTACTTTGACCAAAACACTAATGCCATAAAGATATTCAAAATTAGCACAAACGTGCATCATTGGAATGGGTGGAACTCAGTGTTCGTGTACCTGTTTCTTATGACTTACTTTTAAATGAATTATATAAATGTCAATGGAATCTTTTTATGAGGATTCATCATGTGTTCTTTGAAAATAAAAGGAAGTAATGCGCTCGCCATTATGATCTGCCGATAAAAAATTAATTCATCTGATATAATTTTCAAAATGAGTATACTGCTTTTATTGTTACATCTTGTACGCATAACACTATCAGGAGATAGTGATCATTCACAATGAACAATAATTTTGTCACAGTCACCAGGGAAATAATACGTATTAAAAACAATTTCGGAAACAAAGGACTTCACAAACTTTCATGTATAGATAATTCATTTTTGATTGGACTCAGTCTTTGAAGTAAAGGCAAAATGGGACTTGATTGTCAAAGACAATGCACAATAATTTTGAAAAACAGTCACCTGGGAAATAATGAGTATTGAAAACAATTTCGGAAACAAAGGACTTCGCAAACTTTCATGTATAATTCATTCATTTTTGATTGGACTCGAGTCTTTGAAGTAAAGGCAAAATGAGACTTGATTGTTAAAGACAGTCGAAGTCAAACAAAAGTGTGCCAAAATTAATGAAATTTCCATAAAGGTCAAACCACTTGTTTAACCAATGATTTCAAGGCAAAGAAGTATTGATGAAAATGAAAACTACTGTATGTTACTAGAAGTAACTTTCTTTTAAAGGACAACGGACAGTTTCGAAAAAGATTTCACACAGTCATATGTAGGATTTTTGGCTATTTTCTGTCGATTTGAACAGGTGCATATGTTAGGCCAATGCATTAAATCCAGGACAAGCAGTCATAAAGATGATAATATAATTTTGACTTTTAGACTGGGAAGGTGCAAACACTCCATCAACATGTCTTTCTGTAATGTTGTCCTGATTTCACACCTGTTTTTTCAATGTTTGATGCACACTATATTGCGTTTTGAGACAAGGTTAACATCTTAAAAGGAAAATAGGATTCATTATTAAGCAGTGGTTTTAAAGATGAGTGCTTGATCTCAAATTAATGCATTGGCCTAACATGTGCACCTGTTCAAATCCCCAATAAATAGCTGAAATCCAACATATGACAGTTTGCAATCTGTTGTAACACTTTCCGTGGTCCTTTCTATGATTACTATTATGACCAAATGAACACCTTTTGCTATTTTACCATATCTGGTGATGCTTGTAAAAACACATACGCTGTTTTAACACTTTATACTCAAATATTTTAATGATTTATCCCACTAACCAAGAAACACAAGTAGCCATAGGACCATGTTTTTCATCAAAGTTGAGAAGAGTCAATGGCATTTGGCATTCTTATTCATTGAATTTAATGAAAGGGGCACAAAACTCTTAGTTTTAGAGTGATTTTCTCAAAACTTATTGATCTGGTGTATGGAACCAATTACTTAGATGTAATTAGGTAGTTTCCAGTTTCGCCACCAGGTACCCTGCGTGCAGAGTCTAGTTAAACTGAAGACGAAGCTCTCTTTTAAGAATTGAAGTTGAACGAATACAATGAAAGGGTAGCCACCAGGTGGGAAATAGAATAACAGGTTATTACAAAGTTCCCTTTAACTTCACTGTTTCACTTTTCATATTACTCTTAGGTATCAGATAGTTATATAAATTAGAATATGTTCAGTAAAAGAAAATATGATCTGCCCAACACAAGAAAAGATATTTCACTAAGTCACATTTTCAAAGAATATTACATTTTTCAAAGTTGATAAACTCTTTTAAAAGCCCCATTTCCAGATGTTCTTTTACATGTAGATTCCAAATATGACATCAGTTTGACTGAATTTTTAATGATGTAAATCAAGATTATTTCTACTCACATCTAGTCTATTAAAGACGGATTTCTTTTCCATGAAAATTTAACACAGTTACAGTCAGAGAGTCAGCACAATGGGGAATTTTAGGGTACAATAAGTCTTCTTTAATTCTTTTTTAAACATATATTCAACCTGCTGGTGCCTTGAGATACCATATACCATATTTCCTCTTATACCATATACCATATTTTTTACACCTCTTATACCATATACGATATATTTTGCCCCCTCTTATACAATATACAATAAATTTTCACCCTCTTATACGATATACAATATCTCTATACACCCCCCCCCCCTATTCTGGAGAATATTTGTGGACATCATTCTGATACTGAGCATCACAAATTTCTGTCTCGTCATTGGCGGAGAAGATATATGATATGATATGATACGATATGTCATGGTTTATCACGATGACTGACATGGCCCCATTATTGTTGTATCAAATGACAAATGGTTCTACTTTAATGACTACAGTAAAATAGATATATGAAATACTATCCATAAACTTGAATACATAAATCGAATTGTTTCTTATGCAATGGAAAAAACATACATGCCCCATGAAGGACTAGAATTCGGGATATAATTACATAATATGGGGTTACCTTTTCAAAATATTTATAGGATATCCTATAACTTTGAGGAATATAATTTTTATCTTCGAGGTGATATCGATATCTGCACCTGACGAGAGAGCAAAGCGAACGAGTGCATATATCAATACCACCGAGTAGATTAAAATGATATTCTGAAAAAAATCATAGGATGTTCTTATTATCCTACACTTACAAGAAGTGTTCTAAATGCATAATATCATTGCAAAGCCAAATAGAGTCAACTTGGCGGGAAATCAAGAAGCGGAGTATATCGTCACAATATCCTCCGCATATTGGGTTTCCGGAGTATATCGTCACGATATCCTCCGCCCGGAGTATATCAATACGATATCCCCCGGTTATTCATTTTGCCAATAAATATCAAATTTATTTTTTCATGTTATTATACATTTAGTACACTAAGTGTAGGATAATGTATTGTATGATATGAATTGCTCACAAAAGAAACATGGTTCATTAAAAAGAACATTGGGGGTAAATCTTTTGTAATGTTCCTTTATTCCCTTTCCAAAATAACAAAAAAAACTTAGTCTCCAACTAAACTATATCAATAAACCACATCCATGCACATGTAACGAATTATAAAGAGTGTTTTAATAAAGATGCAACCATTTAGAGAAAATATCGATATTGCTTAAATAATCCATGTCAGTGCGAAGAGTATTGTTTAAATAATTGATATGGTTTTGGTTAACAGACAGAAATTCAATATGATGTCACTTTCTTTCAAATGGCTACCTCAATTATACATTATTTGGGATGTTTGTGATTTACTTTCTTATAAACGGTTGAATCTTTCTTTTAACACATTATTTTAACACGTTTTGGCATTTTCCCTTAAATTCAACTGTTAAGAGTTCGAGTCCTATACTAATCATAACGCAAATATACAATATGCACCTACATTTGAATGATTTGCCATATTAGAGCTCAAAACTTACATATTAACAGAAATGTTAAACTTAAAGCTTACATTTCAACGGCGTGCAGTGTAACGACAATTCTTTATTGCTTAGCATAAAATCGTAAAATTAACAATTTGCATGTCAAATCACCAAGTACCATGATTTTCCATATAAGCCTGATTACCAACGTAGAGCTCTGAACGAAAAACAGAGCGAGTATAAGACCAATTCTATAATTGCTTTTGAAGAATAAACAGATCAAATCACATCATCGAATATATATGTATAAGTATAAGTATGAGTATAAGTATAAGTATGGTTTGATATATGAAAAATGCTCGCTTTACAATTAAGTACTTCTATACATCCACGTTGATAAGCGATGTCATGAGTGTTCTTTAAATCCTTTGGTAAAAATAATCTTTTTACTTTTCACCTATCGCTCTTTCACTCAACACTATACCTCATACAGAATGTAAAAACATATACATGTGGACAAGATGGATACTATAGACACGCATAAACATGAATATTTGAGTCCAAGCACCTCATTTAGAGAGGAAAGTTCCAACCATTTATTTTATTTCTTTCATTTTATAGAACTTAAACCTTGCCTCGTTCGTTTAGAATTTTGCTATATAGGCATTTAGTGCTAATGCTTATACAAAGATTTTACAGTCTCTTAAGTTATGACACAATACGACTCTGCTCTCAAGTCTTGTTTGTTAATAAGTTTATTGTTTCGAAAGTTGGACTCACACGGCAGTCCCTTTCCGGCCTTGTTTCTTTTTTGAACCTTTAGGTTTTCTTCGTAACCCCTTTATTACATTTATCAATTTCGATGGTTTTAGCTTTGACAAAACATTTTCACCTTGTCCCATTATGCATAAAGGGTACTCCTCATCGATATTTTCTATTTCCTCTGCTGTTGTTTCGATCGCGAATTTTGCTGTTTCTTTGAGTTTCTCCAAAGTTAGAATCCTTTCGCTGAATCCAGATTTTTGCTCTTTCTTTTCTGAATCGATAACTCGGTCAATGTAGTCGGAAAATGGATCCTCGCGATTATGAACTGTTTTCACAAATACCTCAACTCTTTCCCTTAGCTTATTCAACTCTTGGATGCGTTCCATGTATCCTGGTTTGCATTCGGCCTTCTCCGCCTCAATCATCAGGTCGATGTAGTCTAGTGTTGAAAGTGGGTTAGGTTTAAGTGCAATTTTATTGATGTACTCGGTTGCACGTCTCATTTCGTCGGTTAGTAACAGTGTGTTGAGTTGATGTTCATTGAAGTCATCTTGTAGACTTTTGATCAATTTATCAACCGTCAGCTTATCATGCACACCCTTTTGGTAGCGTTCCTTTAACTCCTTTGATGTTTTTGTCACCTTCTTACGTTGGATCGTCATAATGAACGGCATGTTTCTGTGACTCTTCCAATGACAATGCTGGGGGCAAACCGTACAATTACCCGTTTCCCGATCCATTACTGTACACTTCCATTTCATTTCGTCATCCGCTTTCGTGCAAACAACATGGCAGGTTCTATTGCACGTCAAACAGTTGGTTGTGAATTTCCCTGGTTCTGCATCTTTCTTGACAATCTTCTCTTCCATTACTGTATAGCGAAATTCCTTGTTGGCAGCTATCTCAGCTTCGTATATAGCCACAACCTTCAGTTCGTTCGTCAAGTTTTCTAGCTTGTTCAAACCTAGCTTGATATCTTCGCACATTTTTAATAGAAGAAGCTCCAATTGGTGTCTCTCTGTCAGAACCGCCTTTGTCAGTGTCAGACTCTTCGAGTCTAGGCTTCCAAGAGTATCAAAGAATGATTTGAAACTCTTTTCTCCCATTTCCCAAAACATCTTGTTGAAAGCTTCATTCTCGGCATCATTTCCTTTCTCTGCAAAAACAGCTGAATTGTTGAACTTCAAGTAGGCTGAATATTCAAACCCAGCCTTTTCTATTCCGCTAAGAACTTGTGGTTTCTGACCATCTGCAAATGTAAGCAGCATTAAGATGTTATCTTTGATATCCTTTCCGAACAAGGAAAGTATCTTGTCAAAAATGTATATTTGGGTCGGAGTTAATCTGGGTAATGACGACTGGGTGACGAAACCAACAGCTTCTATGTGATCCAGGCCATCGGCATCAATCGAAGTGAAAAATTCCCGTATCTGTCGTGTAATCTGTTCGTCTCTGCTGTACCCCTTCGTATCACCAAATCCTGGCGTGTCAATAATTGTGACAGTGTAAGGAACCTTTAGCCCCTTTTGGTGATAGACCGTATATGAGGTTATTGACTTTGTTTGACTCTCCGATTGATCGCAACCGAGTTTTTCAGGTATAAGTTTTAGCCTTTCTGTGTCTTCCCATTTGATGCCAAACAAGTAGTTGATCATTCCATTAATGAGAGTGCTTTTACCAGCTCCTGTAGCGCCTACAATCATAATAACTTTTTCCGACACGGACTCCGATACAAGATTAGGTGCACCATACTGGTACTTTTTTATCATCCCATCATCACTCTCAAAGGTTGACTCAATCTTGATCTGGTGAACTATTTGGTTTCCTAGACACTCGGATGTAGATGTTTCAAGAACTCTGGCTTTTACGATTTCATCTGCTGTTGCGCTAATCGTTATTGGATCACTCGCCTTGCTGAAATCTCCCGTTGTATCACCCTCATAATGTGCTATAACGGCAAATATGTAGGTATTATTTGGAGGCACTGCCAATGCTGTCTCTTCGTGCGACGTTGAATCATCTTCAGAGGCAGGAATAGACATTGTCTGCCAGAAGGCTGAATTTGAATCTTTCCATCTGAGTGTGTACGAGCAGACTTTAAAAGATGAACGTATTTCCGGTGCTGCCCATTTTAGACCTACTCGGATTGGAGAGACCTTCCACACTTCTGGTTTGCCAGGATCTGTACTTGCCGTCACTCCACTACCTTGTGTTTCCATTTGACTAACTTCCATTGACTCAAATTTATCTGTCATATTCTCCTTTGCCTCTTTTGTTTCTTGTTTTGTAACAGCATCATAAAACATATCCATGTCCTCATCATTTTCGACATGCGTTTGTTTCTGCAATGCTAAAAATTCAGAAGCTGTAGGAAGAACAACATTTTTAGACAAAGAATCATATACACTGTTTTCAAAACCTGAGCCAGATGGCTTCACATTAACACCACCTAACTCAAAGTCCATTCCTGTATCATTAAGGTCGTCTTCTGCCATTTTGATGTTAATAGGATCCACACCATGTCCATTAACATCGATCATTTCAGCTGTATTTAACCGACTACTAGCTCCCTGGTCATCGTTTTCATTCGAATCTGGCGGTGTTACATCTACACCGGCATCTAGAAATAAATATGATAAATATCATATTAAGTTGATATTTACAAACTTTATCGTGTTCATTAATTTAGTGATACGATTTGAAGAACATAAACTAGGAAGCAATACAGGGTAGTCCAAAAAAATGGGACACTCGTATTTCAAAAATAAACATTGATTTTATTGATAAAAACATGTTATATACCGGTGCATAGGGAATCTAATCATCTTTAATTCGGTATATCATAAGTTTATCACAGTACATATCAAAATGGAGGAAGATTGAACATATGTTTCTGTTGACAAAAAAACTTGGTTTTGGCAAGTTTTTGAATAACCGTTTTTAAATGAACATGACGCCATTTGTATTATGGACGCTGGTTGACAGGCATTATAATAAATTTGAACTTATGATATACCAAATTAAAGATAATTAAATTCCCTATCCACTGGTATATAATATATGTTTTCATCAATAAAATCAATATTTATTTTTGAAATACGAGTGTCCCATTTTTGGACCACCCTGTTTACAGACGCTGATATTCGTAAACTAAAGTATAGCAAATTCTCCTTATGTTGTATGCTCTGGATACATGTATGTGATAGTTGACTGGGGTTTGAAGTTCATTCCCTGGCCAATGCGATATGGTGTGTGTGTATGTGCAATTGTACATTATTGCATGAATTTGGATATGTTGTGTTTTTTTTCTTTACAATGTTATGTTGTATTTTGGAAATATGATAAGCAATGCCCTGAAATAGGTTATTCGTACTATGACTTTACTCACCTTTAAGCGCTTGTATAAGACTAGCATCTATCGTTAACTTAACATCAATCTCCTTTCCACGATATTTTTCCTTCATTTCATCAGTGAGGAGTGCATCCACCAGGGTCTTTGTTAATTCCCCACTGTGGAAATCCTTGATCAGGTTTTTGGCTTTCTCTTTGTCAGTTACATCCAACTGAAGAACGATTGAACCTTGTTTGACATTAAATAATGCCATTCCACAACCACTCAGAACTTCTTCCAAGCGCTTCTTGTTCTCTCTCGAGGATTCAATTACGTCGATGGCCTCTTTCTCAACGGGTTGCACATTTACTTCAGCCTCAATTGGAGGGTTATCCCCAACTCGCAGTTTAATGTGCATATTCACTGGACCTTGAGAAAACAGGGAATATCCAATTTACATACTTTTTCCAATACAATTCAATTTCATTCTTTATTGATTAAAATATAATTACAGGTCATACACCCCCTACCATAGGTTTGACAACATGTTGACATCTGCTAATGTTTGTCGATATTAAAACATTGATCAATATTTTCATCCGAAATACCACAATGTATGATGTGAACGAAATAAAGATTCAAACATTAAGGTTGTCATTTGTAGACTTCCGGTTGCCAAATTTGTTGTTGGGAGTGTAACACCATACAGTATGAACATTGGCATTTTTAAATAAAAGAAGGAGTGCATTTTCAAACTTTGCTACTTTGTATATTATCATTAACTACAGTAGTCTTCTGTAAAGCCATAAGCACTGGGGATGCCTGGTATCAAAATGGCCGCAATGAAAAATGAGCATTGGTAAGATTTTTTTCTGTACTTTTGTCCTTCAAATTACAACGAGAAAATTGATTTGTAAATATCTCAGCAATGACGGATTAATTTCTAAGTTGTAATCATATTTTAAAACCAAACCTTACGAACTATTTACCTGCAAAATATCTAGTTGTAATAGATAAAAAGCACGAAAATCGTGAAAAGGAAAAATGTTGCAAAATGCTCCTTTTCATTCGTGGTCATTTTGATACGAGGCAAAACCTCCCTCGTTTCCAGTTTATCCCCAGTGATAAGCCCGACGATTAAAGAAGAGTACATCTTTTGATTAACCAAAGTTATAATAAATTATAATGTTAAACAAGGCATAAACATGCGAAATGTCAGAGCCTGTCATTTGTTGCAGACGCCGAACACCAACCGCCAAACACCAACCGTCAAACACCGTCCGGTATAAAGTTGGAGACTAGCAATATGTCACAACTTCAGGTGGTGACATAAAAATTACATAAAATAATCTTTATTTTCAGTACATCTATTTAGATGTATAGAAATAAAGATTATTTTTGGGATACATGGGCGATCATGGGACCTCTTGAGTCAATTGCAAAATCTCGTGAAGTCGCACGGGATGTTAAATCTTTGGATGTCATACTGTACCCTACTGATGTACGTAGGGCTTATACCAAGGTGGGATGCAATGTCTACATACCTCTTAAATCTCTGATGTTTATCAGGGACACATTTGGGCTGTAGACTATTTTGTTATCGGATCCAATTTGGACATTTCTGCATTGCTCCAGGTTATTGGCACATTCTGCTTCTTAAATAAAAAGTAAATAATTACAAAAACAACAAAACCCTCATCTCATTGACAAAACATGCGTGTTTTAATGGTTAAAATATCATTCTTAAAAATTTGAAATCCGTCAAACGATTTTGTAACCTTTGGTATTTTTACATTCGGCAGTCTAATTCATATTTATTTGTCTACATATAACATTGATATAAACTACTAAACTACTTACGATTAGTTTTCGCCTGTTTTTCAGGAACGTTTTCGGGTTCTGGATCCCTAGTTTCCTGTGGACCATCAACGACGCGCCCGTTCAATCGTCGTTTCTTTCGATTCATCACCGTTTGGGCAACTTTCGATACATTTTCACAGTGTGTTACAAGTGACTGTTCAAGGAACTCAGCAATGTGTCCATGATTGATTTTAAGTACGTCCACAAACTTGTCAAAACCCGTACGTCCATTCTCCCCTATTATATCGATCAGCTCACCACATTGATCTTCTGCAGTTTCCTTTGTGACAATTTTCCTCTCTGATTGTTGTTTTGTGATGACTTCGTAATCTATACATCGCTGAAGTATGTGCCCCATTTCGATAGCTAATCCTTCTATGATCATGTTCCTACACGCTCGCAGGACCTCTTTATGGATTACTGACACCTCGACAGTGGTCATCACTAGCATGTGACGTCAAACGCCTTTTTAAAATCTGGAATTCAAATTAAACGGATTGTATATCATATTATTCTTTTTTGCTACAGTTCAAAGGTAATATATACATTTTAACAACTCTAGTTTCTACATTTTTTGTAATGAAATGTTAAATTATATTTCAATTTTTGTCAATGTTAAATATATGAATTGACTATCTTATGTCAATATCCCTATCACGAGATATAGTGAACCTATTTCATCTAAATCAAGCATCTGGATTTTAAATAATGCGCCATGCAAACTAATTTTAAGTAATTAACTCAATAGAGATCTAAAATGTATTCTTCCTATGTACATTATATATAACTTGTAGTTATTAACATTCCCCGTCTGAGTTGGTTTCATCCACGCCAAATACACAATTTGTATGGCGTACTTTTACATGATCTAAAAAATATAATATGAGCCTTGGCCAGGATGCCTGTACATCTAGTTAGGCATTACTTATCTCAGGGCAAGATGACACAACGTATCTCAAAACTGCCAATGTAAAAAATATAAACACTTATCTTGGAGTACTTTACCTCATAGCAAATAAATTATACCTAGTTCATATATATTCTTATCCCCTATATTCTATCGTAAATGTTTTTTGCACAGACTATACCAAAACACTTGAAGACTTATTTACATGGTCCTAAAATGTTGAATTAATCTAACCAAACATTATAATCCATTTTCCTCGTAGGATTTAGATATGTAAGCACCGGTGTCAAAGTAGGCAACCTTACAACTTTAGAGATCACCAGAAAGTTTGTTACCATGACATTGTCCTATGAGACGTGATACTGAACATTCTTCTCAAAGACTTGTAACGGAAACTTGTATCATGGGTATTATCTATAGAGACTTGTAACGCGGGCATTATTTTAAGCGAGAAATTAATCCATCGTCGTTTTCAAGGGCTTGTGACCATGGCATTGTTCTCAGAGACTTGTAACGTAAGAATTACTCTCAGAGACTTATTACGCGAGTATCATTCTTAGAAACTTGTAACTCGAACATTGTTCTTAGAGTCTTGTAACGTGGGCATTGTTCTTAGAGACTTGTAAGAGGGAAATTGTTCTTAGAGACTTGTAACGCGGACATTGTTCTCAGAGACTTGTAACAAGGGCATTGTTCTCAGAGACTTGTAATGCGGGAATTGATCTGAGAGGCTTGTAACACAGGCGTTGTTCAGAGAGGCTTGTAACGCGAACAATGATTTCAGAGGCTTGTAACGAGGGCATTGATCATAGAGGCTTGTAACGTGGGCATTATTCATAGAGACTTGTGACATGGGCATTGTTTTAGAGGCTTGTAACGCGGGCATTATTCATAGAGGCTTGTAACAATAGAGACTTGTAACGTGGGCATTGTTCTTAGAGACTTGTAACAATAGAGACTTGTAAGGTGGGCATGTTGAAGGATACAAGGTGCAAGTCTTGAATGAACCTACTGATCGATGTGACTGCAGTCTGCACCATGAGCAATCTAAATGTTGGCATCAGATATATAAATGAAATAAATGATATATAAATGAAGGTTATGCCTTCAAAATATGAACCATTCTACGCTTTGATATTCCAAACTTTAGAACAGTTTTATACTAATACAATGAAGGTCAAAACGAAAGTATTGTCCTTTCAAATACAACCTGCATTTTAGCGCAAAAATACACCATAATCTAAACAGCCACAAGAATATAAGCGACTCTGTCCTATGGATGATTGACCATATGAAAATTGTGCACAAATGGATTTATATTACTTACCTTTTGCTAATTTCTGTTCATCGATTACGCACTATTACTCGCAAGTGGAATTCCAATATGGTTCTACAAATAGGGGAATCCCCTTGTGTAAGTAATTTCCTATCCATTTAAAGATGGCATCGTCTGTGTAGAATTTCTAAGCCCTGTTGGGGATTGTACATTTACTGGAAACCTATGACATCAAAACGGTGGTAATCAATTATATTTTAATACAGTAATTTTGCAGTACCTTGCTTATGTCGCAACCTTTAAAGATGCTATCTTTTCTAATTTAACCAACACAATGCGTCACTCGTACTCTACAAAGCAAACTAAAGAAATAAGTCGATTTCAACAATGGCGTTTAATAAAGATGGCATCAGTAAGCAGTCCTTCAACTGGGGTTCCTAATTAAATATTTCTCAGTCATTCTATGGCGATTATTTCCTTATTTCAAGGGACACGTAATTTATAACCGAAGTTGGTAAATTATGGAAACATTTAAAACGTATTTTAACATTGTTTTATGTATATTGTTTTATGCATGGTTCATTTTAACATTGTTTTATGCATTTTGTTTTATGCATGGTTCATATTAACATTGTTTTATGCATTTTGTTTTATGCATGGCTAGTAACAATAAATCTAAGCGCTGCTGTGTGAACACATTCTAGGGGATCATCAACTATAGATATAAGCCATTTGCCGTTGGTGAGATATAACATTAACGCTCTTGGGAGGAAAATGGTTGAAGATTAAACGAATTAGAATGAATCGATAGTCTAAAATGTGGGAAGCAATCGCCTGTTTTCAAATATCAATCCAATATTTACCTACGATCTTAATTTTATTTTCTGACAAAATTGAGATATAATCAGTTAAAAAAGTTAATGAAAATTTAAAAATTCATTACAATGTTTTTATCAGATGGGCCTAATTTTTAAATAAATGTTTTTTCTTGAAAAGGTGGAAATTTTAGAAAATGCGACATGGAATAATGAGAGGAAAAACAATGTCAAATTGTGAAAATATTTCGAAACTTACTACTCTTGCATATCCCTCCTCTCATCTCTGTAAACCGAAAAGTCTGCTTTTAAGTATGCACTTCTGCGTTTATGTCAGCATCTGATTGTTACAGTATTATATTCTATTATATTCACATTTAGTTTAGTTTATCAATATGCATATACTGTAACTGATCTTCATTAAAGATCTTAGGTCAAGGTCACAATGACATTATATCTTGTAAACAAAACTGAACTGAATGACTCATTAACCCTTGACCATCCAGATAGTTCTAGAAATTATAACCATTCATTAAAATTTAATCATGTCACTAAAGATGTCCAATCAAGATGTAGTTCCAGAAGATTCGTTTCTGGATCATTCTTTCACATTATAAAAAGAACAGCACAGTGACTCTCATTAGCAGATAAATTAAGTCATCATAACTGGACATCTACTCTGTAGCAGATAATTAAGTAATCATAACTGGACATCTCAAAGGAACTAAATAAAGCAGAATTTCAAAGTTTATCAAAAGGACATCTTCTTAGCAGATAATTACTGTGGGAACATTTATAACACTACAAACATACAACCTGAGGACTTTATATGGACATATATTACAACATACATTATATACGGATTATCATATATATTTGTGGATTATCATAAACATTTGTGGATTATCATCAAACATTATTGGATACGAACATTATAGGATTACAACAAACATTATTGGATTATTACAAACATTGGAGAACTATTAACGATTATTGAAACATTTCGTGATCTGGAACATTCTCAAGGATCGTCAACGACATTTATCGACATCAAGAATAAGCCGTATCATTGATTGGACATCACATAAGTATTAAATCTCCTTTATATTATTGTTATATTATTTAGTTTTCAAAATATAAATATATTGTTATCATATTTTAATTGCTGTTTTTACCTTCTGTTATTTTCGAACGTAACAGAAATTGGGGGCTCGTCCGGGATACAACTACAACAAGCTAAAATACAAATATTTCAAAATTCGAAATTCACAATTTAAATTGTGAAGACAGCAATTAATTGAAAATGAGTTTTGAGGTTGAGACATTTTTAGGATCGCCCTCTTTGGAGGAATTTGACAGTTTAAAGAAAACTGAACTTCTGGCACTAGCAAAACATGTTGGTTTGGCAGTAAAAACTTCATACCGAAAAGGTGCAATAAAAAATATTCTGGTGCCATATTTGGTAGCGGAAGAAATATTACCAGAAGAAGCATTAAAGCTTACTGTAGAGCCAACCCAGCATGTTGATCCTACTGAATTTCAACAGCAATTACAAATGAGAGAGCTTGAACTCAAATTACAAAATGAAATGAGAGAAAAAGAATTAGAATTGCAAAATGAAAAGGAAATAAGATTAAGAGAACAAGAAACAAGATTAAGAGAACAAGAAATTCAAAAAGAAAAAGAAGTTGAATTAAAACGTCTTGAGATAGAAGCTCAATCCAAAACTGAGGAACATGCTACTATGCATCAACATTTTGAAAATAGGTTTGACGCTTCAAAATTTCTCAAATTTGTTCCTAAATTTCAAGAGAAAAATGTTGATAAATACTTTACACATTTTGAAAAGGTTGCTCAGAGCCTAGACTGGCCTAAATCTGCATGGCCAGTTATGCTCCAGAGTGTATTCATTGGTAAAGCAAGTGAAATATTTGCCTCTCTCTCAGGAGAAGTATGCTCTGATTATGACCTAGTTAAAAATGCAATTCTTAAAGCTTATGAACTAGTACCAGAAGCTTACAGACAAAAATTTAGAAATGCCCACAAACAGAGTGACCAAACCCATGTTGAGTTTGCTCGAGAGCAAGAGCAGCTTTTTGACAGGTGGCTTGTCTCTAAGGATGTATCTGAAGAATTTAAAAAGCTCAGAGAGCTTATGCTAATAGAACAATTTAAAAACTGTGTTCAGTATCACATTAGAACTTACTTAGATGAACACAAGGTAGAAACTTTAAGTCAAGCTGCCACCCTGTCTGATGATTATGCTCTTACTCATAAGGGTAGTTTTATCAAGGGCAATCCTAACTTTAGAGGTTATCAAGGTAACAAACCTTCATATGATACAAAATCAAATCAGTCCTCATCATCAAATACATCAAACAAAGCAAAAGACCAGTCTAATTCATCACAGAGCTCTAGCTCAAAATCAGATCAATCAAATTCTTCAGGTCCAAAATCAAATGTCACCTGTAACTATTGTAAAAAGCCTGGTCATCTTATTTCTGAATGCTATAGGATTAAGAATAGAAGAGAGATGTCTGGTTCTGCTCATTCAAATGGTTGTGCTACAGTTCCCATTTCAAGAAAGCCCATTGTTTGGGATTCATATACTCATACTGAGAAATCAACTCATAGTGATATTATGGAGGATTATAAGCCTTTCATGTCGGAAGGATCTATGTCACTGTCAAGTGATGGTACCAATTCAAAGCCAATTAAGATTCTTAGAGACACGGGTGCATCTCAGACCTTGTTGTTAGATGGTGTCCTTCCTTTATCTGAGGAGTCATTCACAGGTACCCATATTTTGATGCAAGGCATTGAATTAAGTTTTACTAAAGTTCCCCTCCATCGTATTCATATCACATCAGAGTTAGTCAAAGGGCCAGTTATTGTTGGTGTTAGGCCACAACTTCCTGTTGAAGGAGTCGCATTGCTTTTAGGCAATGATTTAGCTGGGGGTAAGGTATCGTTAGACCCGATTGTCTCAGATCAGCCTTGTTCTATCGAGGATTCTGTCCAAGAGGACTCTGATATATATCCTGCTTGTGCTGTTACTAGGGCTATGGCTAAAAGGTTAGCTGATAGCGGGGATTCGTCTGTGGGAGATGACTTTGATAGTGGGTTTTTAAGCTCCTTGTTTGATGATGAATGTCACTCACCACTTGTTAAAGATGGTCCTTATCCTATTTTAAAGGCAAATTCTTCATTGAAACAGCCTATTGTTCAAGCCAAGCAGCGATCTAATGAGGCATATTCTTCATTGAAAAAGCCTATTGCCAGGGGTGATTCACCTTCTGAGCAGGATCACTATTTTAATGCGGTTTCGCCCGCTCTTGCTAGTTCTGATGAAGTTTCATCTTCTTCTGCTAGTGTTCATGAGGTTTCATCCCCTCCTTGTTCTGAGGTTTCATCCTCTTCTAGTTCTGAGGTTTCATCCTCTATTTCTGATAGTGATTCTTTGAAAAATGATCCTCATTCAAAACACATGTTAATTTATGAACAAGAGCATGATCCATCACTCATTGATCTTCATAAAAGATGTCTTACTATTGATGAAGCTGCCAAGGTCCCTGTTTGTTTCTACAAAAAGGATGGCATATTAATGCGAAAGTGGAGACCCCCTGAAGCTTCCCCTGAAGATGATTGGACAATTGTACATCAAATTGTTGTCCCCAAATCGTATCATAAGGAAATATTGAGTCTAGCTCATGATTCTCCCATGGCAGGTCATTTAGGAGTAACTAAAACATACCATAAAATACTCAATCATTTCTATTGGCCCGAATTAAAACAAGATGTCCAAGAGTATTGTAGGTCATGTCATACATGTCAAATGGTAGGGAAACCTAACCAGAAAATCTCAATTGCTCCTTTACAACTTATACCTGCATTTGATGAACCATTCAGTAAGGTTCTTATTGACTGTGTTGGTCCATTACCAAAAACAAAATCTGATAATCAATATCTGATCACTATTCTGTCTATGGCCACACAGTTTCTAGAAATAAAATCACACCTTATGCTTAGAAATAACAAAACCAAGTATATTGTGAAATCACAAATCAACAATTCCACATTAGTTGAGCTACCAAAGGAGCTCATATCTGACTTACAATCTAACTCAGTGCTGAATGATTTCATTTGCATTGATAGAACTACTCATGTGAGGTGTAGAGAGCTACACATGATGAAAAAGTATGTTGAGCGTGATAAAATTTCTTTACTCAACATGAGCTTGTGCTCTTAGCTCATAGGCCAAACTTGTATGCAAATGACAAACTTGTATGTAAA